CTCAGCAATCCCATTCTGCTGCGGAGAGGTCAGAAGTGTGAACGTCTGGCGGATGCCGTGCTCTGCATAGTAGGCTGCCAAGAGGTCGGAGGAAAACTCACCACCCCTGTCCGAGTGCAGACGCAGGACTGGAAAGTCCGACTGGAACCGATCGCGGAGCTGGAGACGAGCAGCGCAGATCCAAGGGATCAAAACATCAGGGACCTCACCCTTTGTGCACAAAGGGAAGACCGTGGTGTAGCGCGTGTAGTCGTCGACGACCAGCAGGAAGTACCGCTCGTGGCCCTGTCCACGGACGCAGGCTGGGCCCCACACGTCTAGGTGGAGAGTCTGCAGGGGAGCCTCTAAAGGAGGGAACCAGGAGGAGTGAGGAGTGGCGCGCTGCCGTCCCTCGACACAGGGAAGACAGGGAGGAGCAGGCGAGGGTGGGAGAGGAGGGAGAACCCTGGGAAGACCAGAGACAAGGTACCGGGAGTGCATGCCACGAAGGCGCTGCACCGAAGGGTGACTAAGGCGGTGGTGCCAGAGGACGGTCTGGTGCGACAGGGTGCGATACGAGCAGGGGGCTGACAGCTGACCTGACGCTGACGCAGACACAACTACCTGAGGGGACTCAGTGGTTTGTGTGTAGAGGTTCGACCCCGGCTGCCGAGTAAAGGTAGCCAGGTGGCGACCCGTCCGAGCATACGTATAGTGGATCACACGCTCATAGGCAGGGGTGAACTGGTGAACACACCCGTCCTGGAGAGCAGAGCCCGCCACCAAGTTCGTAGAGAACGAGGGGAGGTAAAGATCCAACAGGGTGCCGGCCGAATCGCTGGACAAGGGAGGACAGTGGAGGAGGTCGCAAGGACTGGGCCCCCAGAGGGGTCAGCGAGGGAGACAGCAACCGGCCGAGCTAGCTGCTCAAGGACAGTACGGTCACGAAAGAAACAGCGGGAAGCACACGAGTCCAGTGTGAAGGTGTCCAGTGCCTCAGTAGACGCAGTAGCACCTTGAGCAAAAGACTCACTAGCACCTAGAGCAGCAGCCTCACCAACATCTAGGGCAGCAAACGCACTAGCACCTAGAGCGGCACTCTCACTGGTCCCAATACCCGGGTCGGGCGGTACACTCAGATAGCAGTCACCCTCAACACTAATAGTCAATGCATACATAGCAGCAAGGATAGCATCAAAATCAAGAGCAAAGATATCAATTCCCTTCTTAAGCAGATCAGCCCAGTGGGGCAGCTCAGAGGCGTCAGGGAACTGCTCGTGCCAGGCGTCGTCGAGGCGAAAGAAACAACGCTGCGCCGTGTGAAACCTCCCACAGGCCTGGCCAGTGCGGTCACCTGTACGGATGACATACGGGCAGGTACCTCCACCCCCAGACCCCCCACGCTGAGAGTACCACTCACGGAGCTGCTGGGACGACGGGGTCTCGCTGGGATGCTGCTGATGCTGTCTCTGGCCACCTCCGATCCCCCCACACTGCACCGCTCCACCACGCCCGCCACCGGCTCCACTGCCGCCACCACTGCCACCACCACCCCCGCCACCCCCGCCACTGCCGCCGCCACCCCCGCCACTGCCGCCGCCACCACCCCCGGTTCCGCCACTGACCCCCCCACCACCAGCACCACTCCCACCACCGCCACCACCCACGCCGCCTCCACCCCCTCCACCACCACCGCCCCCGCCGCCACCTTCGCCACCCCTGCCCCCCTTGCCCCTGCCGCCCTTGCGCCTCCCACTAGGAGCAGACGCAGCCCCAACCCCCTCAGCACCGAGGTAGTCGACAGCAGCAGCAGATGCAATGGAGGGGAGGAGGGGGACGGGGGAGCACCCCTCAAAGAAGGGGGCGCGAGGGTCGCCATGAGAGGCACCTACAGCTACAATGCTCTTCTCAGCTGCTAGGAGCTCCTTCTCGAGCATGTCAACAGTGAGGTCGGTAGGGAGAGGGCGAGAAAGTGGTCCCTGACAGTGCGAAGGGAGTCAGGGAGGCGGGTGACTAGGTGATAGAGTGTGACGTACATTGGGGGAGGGTTCTTGGCTAGGAAATCGGGGGGAAGCGCGGCACGGTAGCGAAGATCACTAGTACGGAGGAGCGTGATGAGGTCACCTACAGTGGCAAAAGGAGACAAATCGGGGAAGAGATAGGGCAGTGAGAGACGGCCTATCGCAGCAATAGCAGGGGAGGAGTAGCGTGCAACGACAGCGTCGTACAGCTCCTTAGCGATTTTATGCTGGCCAAAGTGCTCGCACTCATCTAACGGTAGGTGACTGCGAACGGCTAGGCGAGCATGAGCATCACGGGTCTGCCATTGTGAGCGAGCAGTGCTATCAGCAGTAGCAGCAGGTGCAGGAGCGACACCGGACGTGTGGTCAAACAAGGAAACATCGTCCTTGGCAGTGATCTGGAGGAACAGGTACATGTCATCGAGCCAAACGTCAAACTTAATCGGACGGCCCTCAGAGTCAAACGTGAGAACGGTAGGACTAGCCATAGTGGCAGTAGTAGTAGCAGTAGCAGCAGTAGCAGTAGCAGTAGTAGCAGTAGCAGTAGCAATAGCAGCAGTCGCAGTAGTAGCAGTAAGAGCAGTAGCAGTAGCAGTTGGAACAGGAATAGCAGTTGCTGCAGGTGGGGCGGCGCGTCTCGGTCAGGGTGGCACACCTCGCGCGACGCGACTCGGGCGGCGCGGCTCGGGCAGGTAGGGCGACGCGACGGCGGGCCTATGCACGGTGCGCGGCGGCGCCTAGGGTGCGGCTGCGCGCGGGCCGCGGCTGCGTTCGTGCAGTGGCTAAGCGCGAGCTGCAGCAGCCGACGCGCGATCGCCGCTGCACGCGAGCTGCGGCCTGCGGGCGGGCGGCGGTGGGTCGAGCGTCGGCCTAGGGGCGAGCGGGGCCTACGGGCGATGGCCTGCTGGGGCTCGCGAGAAAAAAAAATTGGGCCGCCTTAGGCGGCTAACGAGCTACTCGCGCTAAAAACGCGGTGTGAGAGTACGACGGCTTATGCCAGCTATGCTTGCTTGCCTTTACTTTATCATGCTATTTCTAGCATAGGATAATTATATGCATGCATGAATTGCTTGATTTCCTAGGCTAGGTGCTTTCCTATATTTTATTATAGTTATAGCACCGAGCTAGGTTGCGTGCACCGAATTCTGGCTTTTCGGTTGCCACCGAATTGCCTTCTACCGAATTCGGTAAGGATCTGTTCGGGACGCTTCGCGACCCGCGGAACCTTCGCGTAACACCTGGTTACGGGGCCTTGTGTCGAGCCTATATATAGCCTCGTGTTGTACCCAGGTGATCATTCAATTCAATTTGAATCATCTTTTCTGAGCTCGATCCCACATCCTCACACGCGGGGCCGCGCTCGGGCTGCTAGCAGGCTGCAAACAAGCAGCGTGAGAGGAGGGCGCGCGAGGGCGCACTAGGAGAAAGGCGCACGAGCGCGCTAAGGCAGTAGGGCACACGAGGGCACCTCTCGCGGAACAGTGGGCCCTTAGGTAATCGGTCCTAGGTCCCTAACCTAGGCTCTGATACCATGTCAAGAATGAGAAGTGATTGCACTAGGTCAAGTGTGGGGTACAAGTAGTAAACCCTAAAGTTATCATACCCCATAGTATCTACCCCACTACAGCCTAAACAAACTGTAGCAAATATAACATTTGACAAAGAATTCCTACCCACGGTTGGCAGACCAGATCTGGACAAGGGCTTGTGTGTGCTGTTTGGGTATGAATGGGTGTTTTGTGCTCATTTCCTCGTTTTCATTTGCCTTTCATGGTCCGCTAGCTCTTTGAGATCTTTTCATCCAGCAGTACGTGTTACGCACCAGCGTAGTCTTGTAAGCCTGCTGGAGCCACCGGCAGAACACTTGCGTCCTCGACGTAGCGTGGTAGGTCGTATAGGTTCCTTTTTTTTTTTTTTTTTGTCAGCCCGGTTTAGGATATCATCTGTCGAACATATTCAGTCGCTTATGTAGGCGCATATGTATGCGGTTGAGCATATTTGATCGGCAGAACTTTAGGCTGTCGACCTATATCTTTGTCGTATGTCGTCCGGTTAGGTAGCCGCAGAGGTTAGTCGGGGTGATTAAGATCCGTAGAAGTATTTGGTCTTGATCCATTCTATAGTAGACCTTAGGAAGTTCATGTTCAAGCATAAGGTTGTCGTAGAGAACTGGATCAGCAGAATACTCGGAACTTGTTTTTGGTGATTGATTGTAGAAAATTATAGCGGTAGAACAAAAGGGTGCCGAACTATACGCAAGTTGTAGGCGCAGATAGATTTCAAAGTACCGTAGAATAGTCGGCATTCGTAGACCAATGTGCAGACGTCCGAATATGAGACGCTCTTAAGACTTCTGCGCTTAGCCCAATATGCATTCTGCCTAATTTCTCTGCTTACCCGCGAATCCTTTCCACCTCCTTTTTCTGACCTCCCATTTTTTTTGGTCTAGACTGGGTGCTTCGCGTATATAATAGGCATCTGCCAATGGCCGACGCAATAATCCAGCCTCGCCTAGTGTCTGCCCAGGACGCAGAGGGTGAAGAAGAGGACCTGGACGACGAAGAAAATACCGTAGAAGATTACGCAGGGGATCGCGAGAACGATCTCGAGTTTTACACGACCGAGGATGATTTGTTTGAAGGTCATCCCTACGCACCGACCATCGTGATTGAGGAAGCCGAGGGGAGTGAAGGGGGTGAAGGACCGGAAGTCGGTGAAGTGCGCCGACGACCTGGTGAGGCCGAAGAAGCTTACGAGGAGGATGGAGATCACTCTGACAGTGAAGAAGAGGGAGGATCATCGCGATGAGGACGACAGCGCTCCGGTGTGAGCCACGTCGAGCAGGGTGCGGCGGCAGAAAATGGGCAGCGGCAAGAAGGCGTTGCGGAAAATGCGAGCAGGATCGAGCGTTCAACAATCCCTCTTCGACTGATAGAGGAAGACACGAGAAGGCACTATTGCTTCCACTTTCTCCACTTCAAGTGGTGGGTGATAATCTTCATGGCAACGATGGTGGATGTCCCTGTGTTCAATAGGCTGGCTCCCTCTCTGCACAACGAGGTTGGGTTTCATCTGAACAATGACTTGGGAAATGATCGGTGGTCGAACGGCTCTGACCAGTGGGAGATTCATCTGCACGGGCCGCGAGTCACAAACTGGAGGCTAGGCCGATACATCGAGTTCCTCTTCTACGAAACAGACGACCAGGCTAAGCTATTCCGTAGTAAAATACGGCCAGACGTTGAGAAGTGGGTGGGGAAGGAGACCAAGGGGTGCCCGCCTTCCATGATCAAGACAAAGATGAACGCGATGGGATGCCTTGCCAGATGCGAGGCGAGGCTCTACGACATCTCCATCACACTGACCAAGGACTGGATCAAGGAGGCTCGGGATTTTCTGGAAGTGAAGCTGAAGGAGCTGAACAAAAAACAAGTCGCGTGAGTAACTTAGTGGTGTGCTTTCTGCTTGTGTAATTCCTTTTCTACATTTCGTACTTAAGTATTGCGTTCTTGGATGCAGAGATTGTCAGAACATTATAGCTTATACTTTGTGTAGGCTGTAGTGGGGTATCCTATAGGGGGTACAACCCAATTAGGGTTAGTACTTGTACCCACTTCATTCATAGTTCATTCATTCTCGTTTCAGTTTTCTCATGGTATCAGAGCAGGTTCCCTCGTGGGAACTGTTCCTAAGGCCCTACTACTGCTTCCACTGCTACTGGATCTGTCGCACGCCCCGCGGCGTGCGACCTATTGGCGCGCGGCGATTTTCTTTCTGGCGCGCGCCCCGAGACGCGCGGCCCCGCTACCCCGTCGCGCCGCCCTAGCGGCCGCGTCGCGCCGCCCTCGCGGCCCCGATCCGCCGCCCTAGTGGCCCCGTCACCTACCCCTGCGGCCTCAACGCCGCCATTCCTGGCCCCGGCTCCGCCCTTCCCGGCCCCGGCGCCACCTCGGCTGGCCCCGTCGCCTACCTCGGCGACCCCGACGCCGACCTTCCCGACCCGGCCCCGCCTCTGCTGGCCCCGTCGCTTGCCCCTGCGGCCCCAGCTCCGCCCTTCCCGGCCCCGGCGCCACCTCGGGTGGCCCCGTCGCTTACCCCGGCGACCCCGACGCCGACCTTCCCGACCCGGCCCCGCCTCTGCTAGCCCCGTCGCTTGCCCCTGCGACCCCGGCTCCGCCCTTCCCGGCCCCGGCGCCACCTCGGCTGGCCCTGTCGCCTACCCCGGCGACCCCGACGCCGCTCTTCCCGACCCGGCCCCGCCTCTGCTGGCCCCGTCGCCTACCCCTGCAGCCCCAGCGCTGCCCTTCCCGGCCCCGGCGCCATCTCTGCCGGCCCCGACGCCGCCCTTCCCGGCCCCGGCGCCGCCCTTCCCGGCCCCGGCGCCGCCTCTGCTGGCCCGTGCGCCGCCCGTCCCGGCCCGTAGCCGCCCGTCCCGGCCCGTCGCCACCTGTGCGCCGCCCGTCCTGGCCCCGCGCCGCCCGTCCCGGCCCTTCCCGGCCCGTGCGCCGCCCGTCCCGGCCCGTAGCCGCCCGTCCCGGCCCGTCGCCGCCCGTAGCCGCCCGTCCCGGCCCGTCGCCGCCCGTGCGCCGCCCGTCCCGGCCCCGCGCCGCCCGTCCCGGCACGTGCGCCGCCCGTCCTGGCCCGTAGCCGCCCGTCCCGGCCCGTCGCCGCCCGTGCGCCGCCCGTCCCGGCCCGTCGCCGCCCGTGCGCCGCCCGTCCCGGCCCCGCGCCGCCGTCCCGGCCCGCCTTACCTGCGGCCCCGCCACCCTACCTGTGGCTCCGCCGCCCTACCCTACCTGCGGCCCCGCCACCCTACCTACGGCCCGGCCACCTCACTCAGCGGCCCCGCCACCCTACCTGCGGCCCCGCCGCCCTACCTAAGGCCCGGCCACCCTATCAGCGGCCCCGCCACCCTACCTGCGGCCCCGCTGCCTCACTTGCGGCCTCGCCGCCTCACTCAGCGGCCCCGCCACCCTACCTGCAGCCCCGCCGCCACACTCAGCGGCCCTGCCACCCTACCTGCGGCCCCGCCACCTCGCTCTCGGCCCCGTCACCTGCTGCAGCGCCGCCCGCCACCCGAGCCGCCCGAGCCGTCCTACCCAGCCGAGCAGCCAACCGCCACGCCACCCTACAGAAGCACATCCGAGCCGCCCACCACCCGAGCCGCCAAGCCGCCTAGCCGCCGAGCCGCCCAGCAGCCGAGCCGCCCAGCAGCCGAGCCGCCCAGCAGCCGAGCCGCCCAACAGCCGAGCCGCCCAGCAGCCGAGCCGCCCAGCAGCAGAGCCGCCGAGCCGCCGAGCCGCCCAGCAGCCGAGCCGCTGAGCCGCCGAGCCGCCCTACTTCCGGGCCGCCCGACCTGCCCAGTCTGGTGAGCACAGCGCCTTTTTCACTACACTGCCCTCACCCTACTGTTTGCCCTGCTAGTCGTCTAGGGTCATGGCTACCCCTAGTGTCCTCACCTTTGACGCTGAGGGTCGAGCCATTGACTTTGAGGTCTGGGTAGATGACCTGCAGCTGTTCTTACAGTGCGATAGGGCAGACGGCCTCTCTCTCTTTGACCTCACCTCTGGCGCTTCCCCTGCCCCTGCTACTGATGCTGACGCCACTGTTCGCTCCCAGTCGGCCACGCGTGACGCTGCTGCACGTCTTGCTGTGCGTCGCCACCTCCCTACCTCCGAGCGTGCGCACTTTAGTCAGTACAAGTGTGCTCAGACCTTGTACGACGCTGTAGTCGCGCGCTACTCCTCCCCTGCCACTGCTGCACTAAGCGGTCTCATGTTACCGTACCTCTTTCCTGACCTTGCTGCCTTTCCCACAGTAGCTGACCTCATTACGCACCTCCGCACTAGTGACACTCGCTACCGCGCTGCACTTCCTGCTGACTTCTGCGCCAAGAACCCCCCTCCCATGTACATCACTCTCTACTACATAGTCACACGCCTCCCTGACTCCCTTCGTGTAGTCAGGGACCACTTCCTCTCCGACTGTCCCACCACTCTCACTGTCGACCTCCTCGAGAAGGCCCTCCTAGCAATAGAAAAGAGCATAGTCGCTGTAGGAGCCTCTCGAGGTGACCCGCGCACCCCCATCTTTGAGGGGTGTTCCCCCTCCCCCCTTCTGCCCTCTGTTGCCTCTGCTGCTGCGGCCGACCTCCTTGGTCTTGAGTCGGTCGGTGCGGCGTCTGCCCCTAGCGGGAGACGCCGCCCTGGCAAGGGCAAGGGGGGCAAGGGCGCTGGAGGAGCGAGCGGGGGCGGTGGAGGTGGCAGCGGTGGGGGGAGTGGGGGTGGCGGTGGGAGTGGAGGTGGGAGTGGGGGGGTCGGTGGCGGCAGTGGAGGCGGAGGCGGCGGCGGCGGCGGCGGTGGCGGTGGGAGCGGGGGTGGTGGAGGAGGCGGCGGTGGAGGAGGCGGCGGAGGCGGCGGCAGTGGCGGAGGCGGCGGAGGCGGTGGAGCTAGTCGCGGGTCTTCGCAGAGGAGTGGCTCCGGTGGTGGCTCGCGCCAGCAGTAGCAGCGCGGTCGTGAGACCCTGTCCCCTCAGCACCTCCGTGAGTGGTACACTGCATGCCAGCGGGGTGGGGTTTCTGGTCCGTGCTCCTACGTCCTGCGCACCGGCGACCGTGCGGGTGAGCAGTGTGGGGGAGCGCACCCCTCCCAGCGCTGCTTTGGCCGCCTGACGGACGCGTGGCGTCGCCAGTTCCCGGGGGCGTCGGAGATCCCTCGCTGGGGCGAGCTGTCTAGGGCGGGTGTTGCCATCTATGATCTTGACTTTGATGCTATTCTCTCTGCCATGTATGCTGTGTCTATTAGTGATGAGGGTGACAGTTATCGGTGTTTCCCGCACAATCCGGGCATTGAGACTACTGCTCTAGGTACTGGTGAGGCGGCTGCCCTAGGTGCCTGGGACGCTGCTGCTCTAGGTGCTAGTGTGTCTGCGTCCTCAGGTACTGGTGAGTCTGCGCTCTCAGGTACTACGTCGTCTTCGGCCTCCCTCACCTTCACCCTTGACTCTGGGGCGTCTCGCTCCTTCTTTCGGGACCGCACCACACTCATGCCGCTTAGTCGGCCAGATGCGGTGTCTCTGGCTGACCCCTCTGGGGGTCCTATCCTCTCCCGCTTCTCCAAAGTCCTCCCGTGTCCGACGGCTCCCTCTGGCACCCTGTCTGGTCTCTACCTCCCCTCGTTCTCTACGAACCTGGTGAGTGGTGCTGACCTACAGGATGCGGGTGTCCACCAGTTCACTCCTGCGCGCCAGCGGGTGACGCACTGCACAGAGGCTAGCTCAGGCCGACACCTGGCTACGTTTACCCGTCAGCCGGGGTCGAGCCTGTACACACTGACCACGGCGTCTCCTCCCGTTGCTGAGTCTGGTAGGGTAGCTGCGTCGGGTCAGGTGTTTGCTGCAGCGTCCAGGTCTGGTCCTGAGTCTGCCCCCTGTTCGTGTCGTCTCCTGTCTCACGAGACTCTCCTCTGGCACCACCGCCTTGGTCACCCCTCTCTGCTTAGGCTCAGAGGCATGGCCTCCCGTCTTCTTGTGTCTGGTCTCCCCCGGTCCCTCCCTCCCCTTCCTTAGGGCCCTGGCCCTACCTGTGTCCCCTGTGTTGAGGGGCGCCAGCGTGCTGCCCCTCACTCCTCCCAGTTTCCTCCGACAGAGGCCCCGTTGCAGACGCTTCACATGGACGTGTGGGGCCCAGCCCGCGTCTGTGGATAGGGTCACGAGCGCTACTTCCTGCTCGTTGTTGACGACTACTCGCGTTACACCGTAGTCTTCCCCTGTTCTGCGTCTGCACTCGGACAGAGGCGGAGAGTTCTCTTCTGGCCTTCTGCGAGCCTACTGTCGTGCACGAGGCATCCGTCAGACCTTCACGCTTCCGAACTCTCCACACTAAAATGGGATTGCTGAGCGCCGCATTGGCATGGTCATGGACGTCGCCCGTACGTCTATGATGCATGCGGCTGCCCCCCACTTTCTGTGGCCGTTTGCGGTGAGGTACGCGGCGCATCAGATCAACCTTCACCCCAGGGTCTCCAGGCCGGAGACCTCCCCAGCCTTGCTGTGGACGGGGAAGGTTGGCGATGCGTCGGCGTTCCGGGTCTGGGGATCTCGGGCGTTTGTCCGCGACTTGTCTGCGGACAAGCTGTCCCCTTGTGCTGCTCCTTGCATCTTCCTGGGGTTCCCCCCCGACGCGCCTGGGTGGCAGTTCTACCACCCCACCTCTCGCCGTATTTTGTCCTCCTAGGATGTCACGTTCGACGAGTCGGTCCCCTACTACCGCCTCTTCCCCTACCGCACTCCGTCCCTCCCCCCGCCCCCGCTCTTCCTTGTACCAGGTCCCCCCCCGGTCGACCACCTCCCCCCTCAGGGTTCTGCCCCTTCGGGTGTGTCCCAGGTAGACGCAGTCGAGCCTGTCGAGGTCACTGGTGACTCTGGTGCTGCTGGCGGTGCTGAGCCTAGGGGTGCTGGGCCTGGGGGTGCGGAGCCTAGGGGTGCTGAGCCTGGGAGTGCTGAGAGTGGGGGTGCTGAGCCTGGGGGTGTTGAGCCTGGGGGTGCTGAGCCTGGGGGTACTGAGTCTGGGGGTGCTACGCCTGGGGGTGCTGAGCCGGGAGGTGCTCCGCCTGAAGGTTCTCCGGGTGCTTCGTCTCGGCGGGAGCCACTCTCTCCACACGAGCTGCGCGAGTGGTTTGCCCGACGCTGGAGGCGTGCTGCTGGTGCTGGAGGTTCTTCGGCTACTGACGGTGCTGCTGTTGCGGGTCCCGGAGGTGCTCGTACTTGGAGTAGTGGAGCTGCTGGGCCTGCGGGTGCGACTGGAGCTGGTGCTACTGAGGGTGTTGGAGCTGAGACTACTGCTGGCGGTCCTGCTGCGGGTACTCTTGGCGCTGCTGGAGATGCTGCTGGAGCGGGTGCTCCTGCTGGGGGTACTGGTACTATCCCTGCTTCTTCTCGCGTCCCCGCGCGGCCTCGACCGTACTTCGTTCCACTCCTGCAGCAGGTTCTTGGTCTTCCACCTTCTACTGGTCCTCCTCCTCCCTTAGCGTGTCCGCAGTCTGTCCTGTCACAGTTCCAGTTGCAGCCTACCTCCCCTTTGCCTGCTCCTTCTCCCTACGCTGGTCCTACTGGCGGTCTTGCTGAGCGTCGTGAGCCTGCGTCTCGCCCTACGTCGTCTGTCCGTCCTGCTCGCTCTAGTGGTCGTGGTTCGCGTCCGCGTCCTCCTCCTGTCCCTGGCACGCACAGGATGTCTCTGCGTCCGTCTACTGCCCCTCTGCGTGCCCCTTTGCCTTCTCCTCCTAAGTCCTCTCTTCCTGCTCGTGTCGACCCAGAGTCGGACTCTCTTCGTGCTGCCAGTCCTACTGTCACGCGTCTCCTTGCCACTGTCGTCACTGACCCTTCTTTCGAGTCCACTGCTGCGTCTGCCCTAGTTGCTGAGCTCGTCAACTTTGCTGCTCGCTGTCGCCTAGACTACGCTGCTAGTCTTGTCGCTGAGTCTGAGTCTGTGTCTCCTCCGTCCGTCGGGGGTGAGTGTGCCCTTGGCACGGACGTCCTTGAGGACAGGCAGGAGGAGTTCCAGTGCTTGGGTGCTGCTTCACCTCATCTCGTGTTTGTATTGCTTACCCCTGAGGGAGACCCAGATGCACTTGACATCCCGACTCCGCGCT